CGCGCCCTAAACGGTGCGAGCCGGCCTCGTCCCAGTCAGCGCCCAGTCAGCGCGCGAGCACGCGCGCACTGGCCAGCGTGTCGCCTGACGGGCGGGCCCAACCGGTCAGCTTTTCTGTCAATACGTATAAAACACACTTTTAGTCTTTTTTGCAACGGCTCACCCCAATCTTGGTACTGACATGTAAAAATTACCAATTTTGATACCAATCTGCTTCCAATGCCCCAATTGTGGTACTTCTGTGCAATTTACTCCACCCACGGCCCGGGTACAGAACCGAGCGAGCCCCCCCTCTCTCGAATCGTTCCCCTGTACTCCTTCGCTCGTACACCCGCAACTCCCTCACGAACCCTCAACGCCGCCGCCAGTGACGCCGCCGCCGCCTGCTACCCCTCGTCGCCGGTCGGATCCTCTCCTCCGCCTCCAGATCCGGCCACCCCTGCCTCTTTCCCTCCGGATCCCCAACTCAGCAGCGCTAATCCTGCCAACAGCAAGGAGCAGCGACCTCCATGGCAATGGCGACCTGACTCGGACGCCATTGACGCCCGAGACAACAGCCGGAGCAAGGAGCAGCAACCCCAAGGCCTAGCCCCTCGCCCAAACATCAAGGTGAGCACCCATTTGCTGAACAAAGATTTGGTGTGTACCGTTGATGGAAACTGAATTCTTTTGTGCAGTGTACGTGTACTGCTATCTGCTAAGATATTAGTTGTATGAACTAGTACATGTGAGGATGGACGTAATTTGTTCAGTGTAGTATGTAGTACTGCTATGATTTTGGTTTTGCAAAAGTTTAGCCAATGAACCAACACTCTGTATCAACCCGCAGCAAAGCCCTCGCCGCCGCCGCCGCCCGCGTGGAGCTAGAAGCGGGAGTGGAGGGGCCAAAACAGTCCCACGATGGAGTACGTCAACCCTCTCACGGGCTTCCGCGTCGATGGCCGCCGCCCCAACGAGGTCACGCCCCTCTCCTCCCTGTCTCGCCTTCCTCTGCTTCACGCTCGGCTGACTGATTCTTGGCGGCCGGTGTCTCGCAGATGCGGCAGCTCAAGGGCGAGGTCGGCGTTGTCTCCAGGGCCGACGGCTCGGCGCTCTTCGAGATGGGCAACACCAGGGTCATCGCCGCCGTCTACGGGCCCCGAGAGGTAGTCCATGTCCCTCGTCTTGCTCGCACAGAGCCTGTTGGACGCCAACTGTTCGATGCAGTGTCTGCTAGGGAGTAGCGAGAGTTCATGGTTCTTAGTTAAGTTTTGGAATCAGGATGATGTTTTTGAGAGTGCAGATGACATGTTTGATGGAATGCCTATCAAGGGTTCTTTTCCCAAGTTCATGCAGCACGTTTCATGTACTGTCTATGAAAGGATTTACTTTCTAGTTGGTGCGGTGCTAAGACAAACTACATGGAGCAACTTTTCTCAAAGTGCGTGATGAAATGGCACAGTAGTCGTTCATGTTAGAGATGCTACGGCAGAATTGTATCCTTCTGGTGTTTTGATAGTGGCAACATGTTCTAGGAAAACTGTGCCAGTTGAACATGGGGAGTTATTCCACAGGGTCTAGGGATGCGGCTTTCCTTGTGTAGCTATGATATTGTTTTTTCATACCAGTCAGTATTCCTCAATATGAATGGCTAACAAATCCCAGCTTTAAACATAATGTTATGTCTGCTTGTTTCACTCATTCAGATCCAAAACAGGAGTCAGCACCAAAACAGTAAAGAGGCTTTGGTAAGTTTATTTGCCCAAGTGCACCGAGTATTAAAGCTTCTCTTGTTACGATGCGCTCTGAGAAATGTGTCTGCAGGTGCGTTGTGAGTATAGAATGGCAGAATTTAGCACTGGGGATCGAAGGAGAAAGCCAAAAGGTGACAGGTATGTTCCATCTTGAGGAGGAAGAACTGATGAAAATAACTTAACCACTGACTATAGTGGATTCATTTATTATCAGTACATGCTTTCGACATGACAGGTTTTCATATCGTTATTTCCAGGCTTCTTTTTCTCCATGTTATGTTTCTTCTAATATTTCCGATGTCATTATCATTTTCTGTATTGGGGATTGTACTTTTGAATTATGTCTGATTTTTTCTTAATGGGGATCATGTTGAGAGCTTTTTGGGCCGGTAACGTCACCAAATATTGCAATGCAATTAAAGTAGAAGTTCAGGAATTTCCTCGTGTGAAATAAAACAGACAGTGCTAATGTATAGCTTAATTTATTCATGTCAGTATTTTCATTATTGTTGTCTGTGTTGGGGACTGTTATTTTTGAATTGTGTCCGAGTTGCTCTTAAAGGGGAAAGGTCCTCAAAACTAAGGGTGGGTGTCATCTCAAGAGCTTTTTGGGCCAGTAATGTGACCAAATGTTGCAATGGAATTAAAGTAGAAGTTCAGAAACTTTCTCATGTGAAAATAAAACAGACAGTGCTAATGTATAGCTTAGTTGATTCATGTCAGTTGTAATCTACTTAATTTTTCAACAACTATATAGTAATATGGTGAATCTATAACTTTGTGACAGGCGATCAACAGAAATTTCTCTTGTTATTCGACAAACAATGGAGGCAAGCATATTAACACATTTAATGCCACACTCACAGGTGAGTCATCTAACAAGTCGAGCTGCAAGAAACCTCTATCCTAAATTATAAACAGGACCCACTTTGAATGCTTACTGTGTTTATTTATAGATTGACATATTTGTCCAAGTTCTTCAAGCTGATGGTGGTAAGTGCACTGTCTTTGAATATTTCAGATCCATCTCTAATCTACATGCACTTCTATAACTATTTGTAGAACCTACTTCATTTCCTTGCCAAACCAAAGGCACACGACACAAGCCTACTTTTTTGTCCAGAGGCTGTGTAAATATTTTACTTATTACTTAATAAACATGCATTTTCTTGTTTCCATTACCCAGTCCCGCTATGGCATAGTGTTATTTTTGTCTATTTCGAAACGATTGTAGCATTAGTGGTAGTAAATATGACACAAGTTTCTATCTTGATCATGACTGCGTGTCTAACAGGAACCAGGTCTGCATGCATCAATGCTGCAACTCTAGCACTTGCAGATGCTGGGATTCCAATGCGAGACATAGTCACTTCTTGCAGTGCTGGGTATCTGTGTTCTACTCCTTTGCTTGGTAGGGGGCCTATTTTCTGTTCTCACATCTATGACAAAGCAAAGAATCATCTCAGACAAAGAGGCCCTTAACCATTCTAATATGTTATTTCAGATCTGAATTATATAGAAGACAGCGCTGGAGGCGCGGATGTCACAGTTGGCATTCTTGCAAAGATGGACAAAGTGACTCTTCTGCAGGTTACAGAACGATCATAAACTTTGATTGCTCCAAATTTCAGGGTCTCCCTAGCCCGTGCCTCATCTGCAGCACAAACTTTCTGATGCGACACATTTCTTATGTGCTTAGTTTGCTGCACGACATCATTCATTCACAGTAACACTAATGCTCAAAAGGTGACTTTCAGATGGACGCGAAACTACCAATGGATACATTTGAGACTGTGATGGACCTTGCAACTGAAGGGTGCAAAGCGATCGCAACCTACATCCGAGAGGTTAAGAACTGTTCCTTATTCTCGGCCGCCCTTGCTCAATTACATCTTCCCCAAACTTGTCATCCTACCATTGGACACACTGAAACCATATTGTTGTGTACACCAATGATTTTCCCATTGTATGAAACCTGAATGCTGGTTGGTTGTGTTGTGATGCTGAAATAGGTGCTATTGGAGAACACGAAGCAGCTGGAGTGTCAGCGAGGCTAGTTAAACGAGAGCCTGTGGCACTTGAAGGCGGGTCTGTTGTGTAACGCTGATTGATGGCTTATCTGCCTAGCAGAGCTAGCATTGAGAGAAAAAATGACACTGAACCTGTCAAAGATAGCTGGACCATCATTTTCCCTCCTAATGTATGCTGTAGCGTGCAGGAGATGACATCTTGATTATGTGGAACTTTGATGTTGAACTTGGTATCCATGTTGTACTTTTGAAAATGTTTTAACATGCTGCAAATTTAACTTAAATACCAGGCGAAGTATGGTACATACATCCCCAGGTTGACATGTTGTGAAAGCATTTCTACTTCCTCCGTCTAGGTGTATAAGTCACTTTATGAAAACCAAATACTTTCAAAACACTTAGTTGCGGTGCATTAGTTCTTACCTCGTTTATTGTTTTTGACATGAGTAAAGGAATCAACCAATAAGAAAGGTGGAGTGTGTATGCTTTCAATGGCTTGCAGCGGCCAGTTCATTACATGCAGTGCTATTAATTAGCAAATAAACATTAAATTCTTTTGTTTTTTTTCCTTCGTCTTGGTTGCGGTGCACAACCTAAAATGACTTATGCACCTAGACGGAGGAAGTACCTCATTTATGATGGATGGTGAAAATTTGTTTGACTGAAAAACTCTTAGAAAGCATATGTATGCTGCTGTCATTCTGCCTGCATTATCACCAAATGGCAACGCAGCTCCAGCACACCATTTTGCTGGCTGTAGTCAAATAGTACCTCCATTTTTTATGTACTCTCCGCATATTAGTTTTGACTTAAGTCAAACCTTATAAAGTGCGATCAAGTTTGTAGAAAACAATATGAACATTTACAGTAACAAATTTAGTTATATGATGTGAAAATATATGCAATGATGAATTAAGTGGTATTGATTTGGTTGTGTATATGTTAATATATTTTCTACAAACTTGTTGAAATTATATAAAATTTGACTTTAGACAAACCTAATATACGGATTAAATGAAAACAGAGGGAGTATTATTCTGCCTTGAAAAAACAAAAGGAGCTATAATAAATACATCAGTTCCGTTCACAACAATGGAGCCAAAGTTACAACATGACACATGTCTACATAATGTATATCAATAAGGTTTGAATCAACAGAGCAACAATATACTGAACTGATGATATGGACACAAAGGGAACAACAAGCACAGTATGAAACCGGCACGCAGCCGCCGAATTAGTTTTGGGCTGAGGCTGCTTGATTCCCGACAGGAAACACCGACATTGTAGCGTTGTTCTCCTGGCCCGTGGCATCCACGCTAGCGTGTCGCGTGAACTCCTCAGGCGTTATGTGTGTGCCATGGCAAGCACACATGATCTTCACTTTGTTTCTGCCGAAGTTGTATGTTACGCCCAATATGGTCCTGCCATTTGGTCCAGTCCCGGTTGTGGATACCCAGGGAAGATCAGGGTATGATCCGGACCCTCCGAATTTGATGTTCGGGGCAATGCCCGGCCTTATACCAGAGCCCGAGCCCATGAGAGGCAATACCTTCTCGACAATCTTACCACCATCCTCCAAAAGAGCAGAGGAGGACGTGCCAACCTGTGCAATTCATACAGAAGAGAAAGGGAAACGATAAAGTTTCCAAATTTTAAACGAACAAAAGGTATATCTGTGCGCACAAGAAGCTCAATGAGGAATTACTTTTCAACCATGTTCATTTTACCTTGCTAGATTACAGGAAAGCACTTGCATATCAAGAAGTGACTATACTGCTCATAGATACTCCCTCCGAACCATAGTACATGTCGAAGTGTTGAACTGAGGTTGAACTAACCTTAGTTCAAAACTGCGACACTTATTTTGAATCGGAGGGAGTAGTAATTAAAGTGGTTCTGAATTAGATGAGCTAACTACACACCTCCAGATTGCTTCCATCATACCAAACTGAAGGAGAAACTAATAAACAAGGAAGTTTGGGACTGGACAGTAGACTAAAACTCTTCATTGAAATATCCAGACCAAGTATTTCAACTTAGTGTTCTTACCTAACCTAACAAATCCAGATGTCATTTAGAGAGGTAGACACATATAGGAGTCATTTTATGGCATATATTAGATTACCGTAGCAACATAACCTTTTCCTCTTTATTTGCACATAAGTAGAGTATTACGAGGTGAACTAACCTTGAGGTTTCTTTCCATCATCAGCTTGTTTGACTCCTGCTCATTCGGCTTGCTTTGCAGCAAAGGAAGAAATAGCCTGAGGCGGAGTACCAAATGCCCATGAAGAGCTCGTTTCAAGTATTGGTAGCTGACCTGTTGGGTAACCAAAAGAAACCTGGGAGGCACCGCCCATCGTCTGGATAGCTAGTCCATTGTGTACGGGTGGCCTCAAATGCACTATATACATTGGAGGAAAATTTGGTGCATTAGTTATGCCCAGGGGTGCCGAAACCTGAGTCTGGCCTTGATATTGCGCAATCACTACATTCGATGCTTGCAAGGGATTTCTATGCGGCAACTTTCCAGAGCTAGATTCACTACCTGAAAAGCTCGGTTCCCTCTTTCCTTGAATCCACCTGTAGCATCATCACTGGATCTCTTTATATCAGATCCGCTGTTTACCACAGAGCCATTGGCACTGTCTTCACGCTGTTGAGCCTTCTGCTTCCGAGTCCGCAACATCCTCATTTTCACCATTGAACCATCATCTGTGCTAATTGAAATTGGTGCATTTTTCACACCTCCTTCAGAGCTCTTACTGAATGCGTCAGGCTAGTCAACAGCAGAATGATGCTTCTTATGAAAACTTGTCTCTTCAGAAAGCATCTTTCTTTTACTTGAGACTGGCATGTTTTCCTCAGAATTATTTCTAATATTATTTGGAGTCCGCCCCTCTTGATACTGGGGAAGCTGAGATTGGTGGGCCATTAGTTCACTGGATCCATCTGCCACTGGAGCAGAGGAGCCCCCATATTGTCCCCAGAAGTTCCCAAATGGCGGGGTAGCAGGGCTCTGCCTCTTCTTGCTACTGTGTTACTGGTTCTCAGCAGTTGCTTGATAGTAATGCGCAAAAGGAGCATCGGGAGGTTGCGAGACACCTTTGCTACTGCTCTCTTCCACTTGAGGTTCCGCCTTAGGCTCTAGAGAAGCATATCTTGCCTTAGACTTCCCAGAAGACCCACCACCCAAAGAGAGGCCTAAACTAAGCTCAAGGGCATCCTCCATTTCTAGTTTCTGGTGATTGTATGGTTAAAACCTGATTCTTTAGCATATAACACCAGACTGCCTCGAGTTATAATTATCCCATTTAAGCAGTCATTTGCAATGTAACAATATTATAGTAAGGGTATGCCATCATGTCTGTCCATGACAATAAATAAGTAAGTGTATGTAGAAGCATACAAACATAGCAATCCATCATAAGAACATATGCTAAACGACTATGAAGCACCAATATAGCCAGGTCTGGCATGTCTATTACAATACACATCCGATACGCCAGATACAGTATCCCCAGAGTGACACGGGTAGACGATACAGCCATCGGCACGCTGCCGGCATGTCAGGACACGATAAGCCCAGTAGATGCCCACTCCTAAACCAACCAGCCAGCTCTCTCTCTCTCTCTCCCTCTTTATTCGCTCAATTGACCAGGGCAGTAGATTGGATCAAGAGCAACTGGGCGACAACACGAGCACGCCTCCGCATGGATTCGTCTTGCTGTGGTCTAGAGTCACCACTATACTTTGTTGTATAATGCTCCTCCTGACCTATTGATGTTGCTGCTGTGTTGGCTAGGGAGTAACACACCGACATGGCATCTGGAGGCAGTGGCATCCCAGGCAGCCAATCTTTAGTTGGTGAGAGTATATTAAACAATAGTATCAGTGTTGATATTGAAGAAACTGGGGCTGGTGTTGTCAATCAAAAATATCCTCTAAGGGCTCATGCTACAACTTAAAAGTACCATGATGATTGAGGAAATCGATGATAATTCAGTCCTCAAAGCCTCGAAAAAAGAGGCATGAAAGCAACAAATGGGGCAGTATTTTGATCTCTCACGCATCCAGTTTTTCTGTTTTTATTACAGGGCACTTCATTAATTATGTATACATACTTGCCGTATGGCTGTTTCTAGACATTGCTACATCCCATGTCCTTGTATCCATGTCGCCATATCAGTGTAGCATAGCTAAACCACTGCGTTTCAGACTATTTTGGGCTGCTCGACGGCACATAAATGGTACATGGTGATACAAAATGTTCTAATCGGTTACACGAAAGACATCTGAACCATAGCCTAGATATATGTCTGTCTACAGTAACTATTAGGAATTCAGAATCAGCCCTCTTTTGAAGTCAGAACCGTTCTTATTTGACTCGAATCAAGCAGCTTAACTGCCTTCCTCTCGCAGCCCCAGGCGAAAGCAGTTCTCCAGGGTCAAGGCGGAGGAGCGATCCGACCACCCCTCCTCTCCCCAGGCGATGAGATCTAGCTATAGGGGCGACCTCGATATCATGCCGGTAATCGTCCTGCTTCTCTTCCCCTGACCGTCGGCTAATCAATCGCGTGGATTCCTACATCTACCCCTCCCTCCCTCCCTCCCTAAAACTCCCCTCCGCGCAGATCCAAATCCTATCAACCCGCCTCCAACTGTAATAACTGTAAAATCCTGAGCCCAGCACCAGGGAAAAAAATCAAAACAAAAAGTAGATCAGGAGCCCCGAACCAGTGGTGCGCAAGCGCCGAGCCCACCTTCTTCT